TAACGTGAAGAAACATTTTGGACATAGAATAAAACCTAGGAGTTTTTGCTCTAAAACGAGCTTATCAGAAAAGAAGCTGTCTCTCAGAAACAATGAAGATCCCTTTTTAAAAAAATGTATTTATTTTTTGAGGCAGAGTCTCACTTTGTTGCCCAGGCTAGAGTGAGTGCCGTGGCGTCAGCCTAGCTCACAGCAACCTCAATCTCCTGGGTCGAGCGATCCTCCTGCCTCAGCCTCCCGAGTGGCTGGGACTACAGGCATGCCACCATGCCCGGCTAATTTTTTTCTATATATATTAGTTGGCTAATTAATTTCTTTTATTTATAAGAGAGACGGGTCTGGCACTTGCTCAGGCTGGTTCAAACTCCTGACCTCAAGGAATACCTCCCGCCTCTGGCCTCCCAGAGTGTTAGGATTGCAGGTGTGAGCCACGCGCCCAGCCTAAGGATCCCTTTTAACTGGAAAAAAAATACTGAAGTTCTGTCTTTTTTTTTTAGACAGAGACTCCCTCTGTTGCCCAGGCTAGAGTGAGTGCCGTGGCGTCAGCCTAGCTCAAGCAACTCACAACTCTGTGGCTCAAGCGATCTCCTGCCTCAGCCTCCGAGTAGCTGGTACTACAGGCATGTGCCACCGTGCCTGGCTAATTTTTTTCTATATATATTAGTTGGCCAATTAATTTGTTTCTATTTATAGTTGAGATGAGGTTCTCGCTCTTGCTCAGGCTGGTTTCAAACTCCTGACCTCAAGGGATCCTCCCGCCTCGGCCTCCCAGAATGCTGGGATGACAGGCATGAGCCACTGCGCCCGGCTAGTTCTGTCTTTTCGACGTCTGTGCTATGTCCCGTCCTTCCCCAGCACCCCTCTCACCCTGAACTAGAGCTATACTAAAGACTCCACATTTGGTGAATCATCTTCATTCTTTTGGTTTTCATTTTTAATTATTGTGGGCACACAACAGTTGTAGATCTTTATAGGTTACCTGCAATGTTTTGATACAGGTGCACAATGTGAATTTTAATCAAATCCGGGAAACTAGGGTATTTCCATCGCCTCAGGCACTTGTCGCTGCTTCGTGTCAGGAACAATCCAATTCCACTCTTTCAGTTGTTTTAAAGTATCCCGTGACTAGTCGACTATGATCGCTTTGGTGTGCTGCCAAATATTGTCCTTTCTATCTAATTGTCTGACATATCTTGGTACCCATTCCCCGTCCACCTCTATATCCCCTCCTCCCTGCCACCCTCCCCAGCCTCGAGTAACCGTCATTCTGTTCTCTGTCTACACGAAGTCCATTGTTTTAATGATCAGCTCCGGCATATGGGCGAGAGCACTCGAGGTCAGTCTTTACGTGTCTGGCTTGTCTCACTTAACGCGACATTCTCCACCTCCATCCATGCCGTTGCACGTGCAAGGATTTCGTTCTTTTTTTCTGGCTGAATAATATTCCACCGTGCATACATGTACCACATTTTCTTTATTCATCCGTTGATGGGCTCAGGTTGGTTCCAAATCTTGGCCGTTGTGCATAGTGCTGCAGCGAATATGAACATACAGCTGTCTTTGGCTACGCCGACTTTCTTTCGGGGATAACACCTGGCAGTGGGAAGGCCGGGTGACGTGATATATTGTGCTTGGTTCTTCGAGGAAGCTCCACGCTGTTCTCCGTAGTGGTTGCTCTAATCTACATTCCCGCCAACAGCGTGCGAGTTTCTGTCCTCTCCACGTCCTTGCCCGGATCCGTTACTGCCTGTGTGTTTGAGAAAAGCTATTTTAACGGGGACGAGAGAACAACTCAATGTGGCTTTGATCTGCATTTCTCTGATGACTAATGATGGTGACCATTTGTGTGTCCTCTTTTGAGGAGTGTCTGTTTGCATCTTTTGCCCATCTTCTGTAGGGTAGAGCCCCAGATCTCCTCCAGCCGCGAGTGGGGTGGTTATCCTTCGACTTGCTGCGCTGTGGAGAAGTGATCTGAGCGTGCAGAGTGATGACACGGCGGAGTCCCTCGTCAGAGCAAAGCTGTTTGTAGCCTCTGCGGTGAGAAGGGACACATTTCCCCGTAGCTTGCTATAAATAAAAGGGATTCAGATGCAGCCGTGCCCTCTCGGGCTAGAACGCTCTGGAGCAAGTCACATCAGCCCACTTCGGCCTCCCAGCCCGCCTCGGCCTCCCAGAGTGCTAGGGTTACAGGCGTGAGCCCCGGCGCCTGGCCAAGACAATGGTATTTCTTAAAGGAAATGTGGCTATATAAAAAATTCACGTGACAAGATCCTGGCTTTCAGGATTTTCTGTGGGATCTCGTTTATGAAATTTTTGCACAGAGGCGCTGACGTGATGACAAGTCCTAGCCCTAGAGGCTGCAGGTTACAAACCCCTTACCCAGTTTGAGTGGGGTTTACCGAGACCAAAACCAAAAGAATTGTAACTGACGCTCTTCAAACTCTGCATTTTGCTACCTCATCTGCTACCGAGACAATATTACGCTGCCTCAAACTTACAAGCACCACCCGTGGCCATGTCTGCTACCGAGACAATATTACGCTGCCTCAAACTTCACCAAGCACCACCACGTGGTCCATGTCCTCACGAGGCTTATAGTTTACTGGAGAAAAATTGACAGATAGGAAAAAAGAAATTTTACTGAAGACTAGGATCAGGAAAGAGCTAGGTAACATATAAGACAACACATATGAAATACATTTGAATGGGTTTGAAATGAGGCAGCCCACTGAGAGATGGAAAAGAATAGCCAACTGTGTGTGGTGGGCATCCTGACTTTTTAATCATCATCTTCCTCTCTTTTCCATCCCCCTCCTCTTGTCCTTTTACTGAAAATTTCAATATGACACTTGATTAATATAAAACACTTGAGGGAAAGCAAATCTTCCTATTTTTCAAATTTGTCCCATCCTTGTTGAAGGGGCCTTTTATTCAATTACCATGCACAGCTCCTTTAAAAATTAAAAAAAAAAAAACACTTTTTTTTTGTATTTCTCCTAATCAGACAAAACTGTTAGATTTCTGACTTTGGAAGCCCCTGGTAGGGCTGAAGCCCTGTGGGATGCAAGAAGATGGGGGAATCTTCCAGCAGCTTCTCACTGCAACTCACACCACATTCTGGAGGTGCTCAGATTTCTCATGGCTTTTCTTTTTAATTCCATAATCTCTACCCTTTTTACCTTTTTTTTCCCTTTTTTCCCCCTACACTCCTTTCCTTTACATCAGTGAAACAAAAAATCAAAACACGTCCATCTTTTTAATATTTGACAACTATCATGTGTTAAAGTGTGTTTTATGTTCCAGGCACTATATAAGCACTATATAAATGTATTAACTCATCACAACAGTCTTACAAAGCACATTTATCATTAGCCCCAATTTATAACTAAAAAATCCCAAACACTGAGTTCTCATAGTTTTCAGTGTTGGATTTAAGAGTTGAATCAGAGGTTCAGCTCCAGAGTGTACACTCCCAGCAATGTCCCGTTCTGCCTTTATTTAGATATCATGTATTTAGAAACTAAAGAGAATTGTTCTTGCTCAGTTTAGACAAACTCAGCAAAGCTTGATGTCACTGTTTTCAGTCCACTTTCATAAGAGTTTGTATCTCATCTACGATTTTTTTTTTTTACTATTTACTCCTGATATTGTGTGCTTTCTATTTTTCCTTTCAACCTATCCATCCTTTCAAAGATGACAATTTCCTGGAGTCATGAAGTAAAAAATTAAATCCTCGTGTTACGTATTCCCTGAACTGAGATTTCTCAGTCTATGGGAATCCTGTACGTGAAGGACCACCTCCCCTCCACCTTTAGACTGAAAGTATTTATTCCTTTTCCACGGCTGGTCCTTCCTAGTGTTCCCTGTTCTTAACCATCCACTAAAAAAAATGAGAGAGGTTCCCAGCCTTTTCGTTTACCTCCCTCTTGGCCCTGACGTACGGAAACCCTCTTGCCCCTGCTCTGGTCTGATATAGGAAAGGGGGTGAACTCATTGCCGCACCTGTGAGAGGGATGGATTTGCTGAAACTGTCCCCAGGTCTGGAGTTGGAACTCAAAGTCCGTCATTTAAACGACAGTTGTATCGTGGAGACGTGTAATCATTTCTCAAATCATGGAGGCCTGCATCGGAATCACTGAGAGATGCCTGTTAAACAAGCAAATTCATGGGCCTCCCCCGAGACCCTATTGAATTAAAAAGTCTCTATGGGTGGTGTCCCCAATCCACATTTCTGGCAAGGTGAATTTAACGAGGTGCTCCTGTTCCTTCCTAGAATGTAAGAATAGCTTCAGCAGAAGGGGAGCCTTGTTGTGGGCTATTCTGAGAACTCGTGTAGCGTAGCGTAGCGTGAGTAGTTGAAGGTCGGGAGGTCGTTTTCTAAAATGCCCCGGTGCCTCATTAAAGGCTGGCTCCCGGTGGCGGGGTGAGTCTTTGTTTGCCGAGCAGAAGCGATGGAGGTGAGCATGTTAGCTTTAAACCTAGAAGCTGATGCTTCGTTTAATCAATCCTTCTTATACACAGGACAGGTGGGGGTGGGGAGGAGGCGAGGAGGGAGGGGAAGGAACACGGTTTAGGAAAGTCAACTCCAGGAGGAAAGAGAGTGGGCGGCCAGTATCTGTGCCACGAAGGCAGCGAAGAATGGCCGCTGGAAGGAGCGGCCGGAGAGACGTGAAAGGAGGAGCAGGTGCCGAAGGGGCTTTTCAGGTGAATCGCCGCCGCATTCCGTAGCGTGAGCAATTGCCTTGAACCCATCCCTCTTCAGGAAAAGCATAAAACCCGAGATGTCCTTGGAGAGACGAGCTCTTTTGAGCAAGCTGGTGGTGGTGCATGGCGACTGCCTCCAGGGTGTCCCAGGCCAAAACGAAGTCCACCTGCACGGGTGAGACGTCCTGTGGGATGATGAGTACACAGAAGGAAGAAGGATGTTCCACACGCCCGCCGGCTCCCCCACATCTCCAAGCCAGCTGCATTGCTTCGTGTTGTTTCTCTGGGAGCGGGAGGAGCAGGGGAAGGAGGAGATGATGGCCTGGGCTGGAAGGTCTAACGGGATTGAGACGGAGAGGACTAGATAGACAGAAGCCGGGAGCCGTGGTGGAGATTCTGGCGGGAAGAAGGGGTGTTCCTTAAGGCGGGTGGAAGGGCAGAGACACAGTCGAGTTCGACGGGATTCCAGGTGTGTTAAATTGGGAGCGTCTCGGTCTAGCCTTTATTTCTGCGTAGGATGACAGCTGTGGGAGTGAAAGACGAAACTAATAAGAGTTCCAGGGAGGGGTGGCAAGGGCAATGTATGTAACCTTAACAATATTTGTACCCCCATAATATGATGAAATTAAAAAAAAAAAAAGAGTTCCACCTAAGAAATGGGTGTAAACTGAGTCTGTCTGCTAGAGCGATCAAACCAGAATGGTGTGCCCAGCCCGCCGCTGTGAGACTGCTGACTTCTGCTTCTCCCCTTTGTCTGCAAGGACCCAGGTTGGTCTCTTCTCAGCACCCAGGTTTTTTTTTTTCTTCCTATTTCTCCTTAACATTTCACGTTACTCGGCATTCTATCATGTTCTTTTTTCACATCCAGCCAGTTCTCAGTCAGGTTAACTCTATTTCTTTATTCAATCTCCACCTCCCCTCTTTTTATCTATTTATTTATTTTTTGAGACAGAGTCTCACTCTGTCATCCTGGCTAGAGTGCCGTGGCGTCAGCCAACTTCCAACTCCCGGGCTCAAGTGATCCTCCTGCCTCAGCTTCCCCAGTAGCTGGGACTACAGGCACGCGCCACCACGCCCGGCTAGTTTTTTCTATATATTTTTATTTGGCCAATTATTTTCTTTCTATTTATAGAAGAGATGGGGTCTCGCTCTTGCTCAGGCTGGTCTCGAACTCCTGACCTTGAGCGATCCTCCCACCTTGGCCTCCCAGAGAGCTAGGATTATACAGGCGTGAGCCACCAGCCCCCATCTCCCCTCTTATCCCCGTTCCTGCTGTAAATGAGCACCTACTTACCGACCACACGGATCACTACAACAAGGTCCTAACTGATGCCCTTGTCTCCAGTCGTCTTCTCCTTTCCAACCCACGGCATGCCGTCTCATCATTGCACGAACAATCGTCGTTATGTTGCTCTGCTGCTTGGAGCTGCCCAGTGGCTCCCCATTCACTTCGAGTGAATAACCAACTTCTCAGCAGGGCACGTAAGGCCCCTCATGAACCACTCCTTCGAACCTCTCCGACAGCAGTTTCCGCCTTCCTCCTGAACGGGGTCCTCTAACTTCCCACATCTGTGCCCTCTTCTCCCTACCTCTGGGATTCTGAGCGTGTTCTTCTTCTGTCTGGCTGTAAACATGCTCCCTCCCCTCCTCATGACCCATCTGGCTCCCACACAGCCTCATGTTTTCCTGTTCCCTTGTCTTTCTTGTAGACCAACCGGAGAGTCTAAGAAATGTGTTAAGTTCCGACTCTGCTATTCCATCGATAACGCTCATAAGAAGCTGTTCTTATATCACGACAATAACTGTCAATTACCATTACCATTAACGTCATCAATTTAATCACTAAGCAAGACAATGTGCCTTAGCATTGAGTTACGCCTTAAGAGAAAAAGATGAGCACGAAACAGCTTCTACCCTTGTGGAAATCACAGTCCAGAGGGGTGATAAACACGACTAAATGCAACACAACGTGGTAATTGCGATGGAAAAGCTGTAAAGTCACCCAGAAAGCGATGGCCACCTTTCCCAGGGAGGGGACAAGATTTCACAAATTAGACAAGCCTTTAAGCCCTACCTTACAAAATACTAGTCGGGTTTCTCAGGCAGAGAAGGAAAGAAGGAAAACCGCAGGCAAAGAGAGTTAACGTATCGTTAACTTCATATATTATTTCACGTGCTAATGCTGCTGATGACACTGCGTTGTTTTGACTTTCTTACCATTAGCAGGGCTTTGACATGAGTTAAATGATCACGATATTGGTTAGTTTTTACCAGTAGTAAAATGATAGCGATAATTTTAAATTTTTACCGATAGTTAACGATAGTGACATTGGCTAGTTTTTACCAACACAATGCCACTCCCCACTCCAGCCCCTGGCGTTGCGTGGGTTTATATTCATTGCCCGGTGGTTTCTCTTTCCGTTCCGTGTGCTCACGTGCAGTCTTGAAAGTCTTTTCATAGGCAGTGGCCTCTGCAAGTTTCGACCAGCAAAATCACAGCCCTGTCAAACTTTGCTGATTCCTGTATTGTCACCGTGAGAAGCTTCTTCCTTCTTGTGGGGGCTTAAGTGCCTACCCCCATTCGGTGCTGGTGATTCTGTTTGAGATGTTTGGACCTGTTACAATTTCCGCTTAGGAAAGCATCTTTCTGAACTGTGACTGCAAACTGTGAATTCCACTAGGAAATGGGTCTTCAGAATATTGGCAGGGTTCTCACGCTCTCTGTAGTCTCCATTTAAATATCAGTGGGGTCTGTGGAACCCATATGCTCTTATTTATTGATTACACATTAAAAATGACAACGAGTTAACAGTGATAGATGCTTCTTCAGTGGAAGTGCTACTAGCATGATAAAAATTTTCTTCCTTTTACCCGATGTCAATATCAAATTGGCTTTTTCTGAAATAGTGAAGGACGTGGTAAAATTTTAACTTTTTATACTAAAAAGAAACAATGATGCTAGTGGTCCAAAATAATGATCCGTTAAGATCATTTCAGTTTATACTTGGAATTAATTATGTGAATAGTTTGGGAACAATTAAAGTGTACTCCTTAAAGTTCGTTTAGACTGGAATTAAAATTTGTCTGCATATGTTATTTGAAAACCAAGGATTTCATAGGACCCATGATCCTTAATGATGCAAATGTAGAAACTTTCTAGGGAAGCAGTTTGGTAAGAAGTAGAGGATGTGGACACTGGGGTCATATTGCCTGGTTAAAGCTCAGGGCTGCTGCTGTCCCCCAGGCAAGTTCCTTCGTCTCTGTTTCCCGTTTTGTAAAACAGGACACTACCGTGTTTCCCCGAAAATAAGACCTACCCATAAAATAAGCCCCAGCAGGATGTCTAAGCATTTGTGTGATAAAAGCCCCACCCCGAAAATAAGCCCTAGTGACGGGCGTGGCTACGCAGTGCATCTGCACAACCCATGCATTTTATTGAAGAGTGGGAAAGAAGATGAGCAGCCCTTCTCATCTGCCCCATGAGAGCTCTATTGCTCCATATGAGAGATTGGGGCCAATGGTTCTAAAGGAAATAGAGTCGCAAGACATTCAGGATGGAATTCGGGGTTTGGAGAGTGATGACGATGTTCCGGAAGAAGACGACTTAACTATATTTCAATAAATGTAGATTGTTGTACCGTACTTAAAAAAAATAGCACATCCCCTGAAAATAAGCCTTAGGATGTCTTCTTGAGGAAAAATAAATATAAGACCCTGTCTTATTTTCGGGGAAACACGGTAATACTGCCTGCACAACAGGATTGAGATAATTCGGACATCGCCCTAACAAAGTACTTAGTACTTAACAAGAATTTAGCTTAGCTGTTACTGGGAGACTGGGCTAATGGCACATTAACCTGGTATATATCTTGGAATATATACCAGTTTTCTTTCTTTTTTTTTTTAAGCAAAAATATTTGTGCTATCAGCTTATTGTCCATTAACTTTTTTCTTTGAAAAATACACTTGAAAGAGAATAGCGTCTAGTTGGTTGAGGTTAGGCAGATAGAATAGTTATAGACCCCATTTCCTTTAAAGAGTGATTATGTAACTCATCATTCTTTGTCCGTTTGTCTCTGTCTCTCTGTCTTATTGGCTTCCCCACTGATTACCGAGTTAAATAAAATCCTTGACGTGCTCATTTTAGATCAGTATAAGAGTCATCATTATATCCCACTTTAAAAATCATCGTTTAGCAACCACAATGAAAAGCATACTTTCTAAATTCATGAAAAGCAGGTTTTTTTTTAAAAAAAAAAACCATGCCCACTAAAAATCTGTTATGACCATGTTTTTTCTTTCAAGTGTCAAAAAAAAAATACATCACGTTACATTCTTGACTTACTCCACGTTAAATGACAAGGCCATAAGTATTACCAGGAAAGACATGGCAACTCTTTTGCTTTTTTGTTTGTTTAATTCAGTACCCATGTGTGAGTCACATCATACCTTATGTGTAGATGTCCAGTAAATTTAAGATTAGCATTTCAATCTAAACATGAAACTTTAGGCAACCAGGTGGCACCTGCACACCTTTCCTTGAGCAGTATGATGTACGTTTAGTTGGCGGCTCTATAGTTCACATGGATTTCTGGTTTCATGTCACAGACCATGCCCAGAAGCTGTTGCATCACGCTTTCCACGTGCTTGTTGTAGCGTCCGTTTAGTTCTTGTATCTTCCCTCGTGTTTCTTCTTCTATTTCACCCGAGAGATTACTTTGAGAACCCATCATCTGCCAAAACAAAACAGACAGAATGCGCGGCATGTTAAAATTTATTGTTTTTATAAGTTAAATTTGTCTAGCCTATTTATTGAGGATTGTTCTACGGGGTAGACATCATAGATTCTTTTTTTCAGAAAAAAAATTTTTTTTTTTTTCTTCAGAGAATGGATAAGATTACCAATACCGTGAGTGGAAAGGATAAATTTTCCTTAAAAATGGAAGCTGATCATAGCAGGTTACTTTCACTTCTAACTGGCTCCTACATGGCGCAAATTGAAGACAAGTTTACAGTTGTATTATGCTCAGAAGTTCTTTTCTGCCACATTTTTCATGTGTTTGTAATGGTTTCCATTCAGTTCCCGTATCTTCCCTATTGCTTACTTTCTGAATTACAAGTCTGGAAAATAAAGTTGAAAGATATCATTAAACCTACTTTTGCTGGTTTTTAAAGAGTAACCAGCTGACTTTCCTATTTTTAAAATATATTATTTGAACTGATTAAGTCTTTTTTTTTTTTTTTTCAGGAAGCTACAGCCATAATATACCTTGTAAGACATTTTTACATGCACAAGTATATTTTTTTAGGATAACAGATATAGTCTTGAATAATTTAATATAAATGTAGTTTCTTTCAAATTGAGATATACTTGCTTATTTAGTTACATTATAATTTTAGACAGAGATAAATATATCTTTCTGATTCTTCTTTCATTGGCAGTGATTTCCAGTATTTTCCATTAGCACCTTTTCCCTCTTAGCTGTTCTATCAAGGAATGATTTGACCAAAATATAATTTCACCAGGAAGTTAAGAATTTAAGGGAATTTTGTAGTGAAACACTTTGAGAGTTATCATTTACTAAAGGGAACAGTCAACTAATTTATCTTCTTTGCAAACTCAACTTTCTCGTACATGGCACTGTTAAGGCAAGACAGATGTTTTTGGTTTGCTTGTTTTCCTCTTCTGTGAGTGTTTAGGAAAAGCGTGCATTTGATTTAATCCGAGAGACTCCACTGGTGATTGACGTCTACTTCGAGGTTGTTAGACTATTCTAAATTCTAGAATGTACACGATCTTACTGGGTCCTAAGCTTGGCATCAAATGTGATCTAGGGTGTTGGGTTCAAGTTCTTTTCTGTTTACAGTACAGGCAATAAGGTCTTCTCAGTTCAAAGAAAATAATTTTGAGGGGATATGCCTTCTAAGACATCAAATAACTTTTACAAAATAACATTTTGATATGCGGGTATACAAGAAGCAGGCACAGATGGATACAATTTCCCTTGCTAAGGATTTGTTTAAAAGCAGAAAGAGCTACTTATCAAAATAATTCCACCAAGCTCAAACTTTTCCCCTTGAAAGGTAGGGTCTTCAGTGGGATTCTACCAAACAAACAAACAAACAAACAAACAACCCCAAAATTTCCAAAGAATACATGGCAAAGTGGGCACAGAATTGTTTCAGTTACTGGTTTTCTTTACATAAGCCAGAAACGTGGATTTATTATTTTTTTTTAAAGTGTGACATCTCTTAATATTTTAACATTGGAAAGTAACTCAAACTTTAAAAACAAATACTCTGTGGGGAAAAGAAAAAAGAAAAATAGGATCCCGGAATCAGACACAAGACGGCTGACCAGAGACATCAGCTGCCACATCATCTCAGAACGAATGAAGAGTTTTAGATGAAAAGCAAAAACCAACCAAAAAAGTGCCAGAACCTGCCAGAGATACCACGGGAAGGAGTTGGGGAGCAGAGCAAGAAGGTACAAGATACTGGCAGGGATCGACCCCAAGAGGCTCAGAGTTCAATGAAAAGGGCAGGTGCGTGGTCGGTTTCTCCCTCCCTCACATCGCTGGCAGTCATCGGGCTCCTGAGCTGCTGGAGAGATTTTTCTACCCTCAAAAGCCCAAAAGCTGCTGCTGCCAGTGGCCTGGGAGCTTCTTAGGACAAAGCACCAGGCTGCCGGCACCCTGGGGATGGCTTCCAGTCACCACAGAACAGAACCAAGCCATGACCGCAACACCACGTTGCTTCTCCACCTCCTAAGCACCTTTTCCTGCCCAGGGGGCTTCAGACACTCAGCTTTCATCTGGCTCGTTCCCACACAGACATTTCCCAACTCTGGCCCAGACCCCGGGAGCCACGGAGGCCAGGAGTCCCAGGGGATCTGTCTGCCTGACCCCAGGGCCCAGACGTTCTAGGTGGGCTGCCTTCTGGAGAGAGGAACAGAGATGACCAGAGTGCTAGGTCTCCTCCATCCAGACTTCTCCCCTTCCCTTCCCCTCCTCTCTGCCTGTGGTTGCCAAGAGAGAGGGCTGAGCTGGGGCTCTCAGGAGTGGCTGCTTCCCCTCTGTTGGTGCATCTACCACATCTGGGCTCCCACAGAGAGTGGGGCTCGTACCTTTCCTCTTAAAGACCTGCAGTGGACTAAGGCATGCTTGGACTATGAGCTCCCTGCTCACCCACCCTCCCCAGTGCTACTTGCCCGGCTGATCCACCTGATCAGACCAGGCACACCCCAAAACACAGGGCTGTCAAACCTGCTTGAGAACCCCATAGGCACCTCAGGACTAGCATGCTTCTCCCTGGTACAGTCAGGAGTTGATCTTCAGGGACCTGGGGACAGGCCTGCAGGCCAGATCCTGTAGCCCCAGGACTCTATCGTGTTGTTTGGGGGGGGCACAGAGGGGAGATTTGTGAACTAATCTCGGGAGGCAAGGGAGCCCTCATGGGCAGAACTGAAAAGAGAGTGCAGTATGGGTCCCAGCTGGGGACCCACTCATGGAGCACCCCTCCCCCCACAGGAAGGCTGCACTCTCAGCACAGGTGGGATCCTGGACAGGGAAGCTCCCAAGCTGCAGCATCCTCATGGGGAAGCTCAGATAGTTGGAGCTCCTGCCTGCTGGCAGATGTCAGAGGGAGCTTGCAAAGCATGGGAGGGTGTAGAAGAACACAACTCACTCCTGACAGCCAGGTTGTGAATCTCAGATGGCCCCTCCCCCACAAGCAGACTTTCTGGCTTCTGCCCCTCCCTGGCAGCTTTCCCCAGAAGTCTGGGAGCAGACCTTTGACCCCTGCTTACACAGCTACCTTACCAGCTTTTGTGAGGGCAGGCTCACCTGACCTAGCCCCACTCAGCCTCGTTCCCCCATCTGCCTGTGCTGTGGTGGAGAATAAGGATACCTCTGGAAGTTCCAGGGCCTGACCCACCACCTGGGGCACTTGAGTGCTTCTCCTGAGGGGCTAGAGCTGGTCACAGGTCCCCAAAACAACACTGCAGCTGGTGCTTTCTGGCAAGTGCCGTCTACTGAGAGGGAGGTCACTTGGTATAGCCTCTTACAGCATTTACTGAATCATACAGGGTGTGGTTAATTCTTACCCACAAGCAGCACTGACTGTCTCAGAGATTAAACTGGGCATGCCTATACAATTCACACTGTTAAGAAGACCACCGGGCTAAGTAAAGAGAGAGGATTTCAAAGACCTCCATCCTCCCTCATCGAAGAGAGACAGAGAATCTGCCCACATGTATAGCTCACCACTGCTATAGCCTGTAAACAGCTAGCAACTGAGAAAGCCACCACACTAAGGATACCTATAACCGAAGCATCCATCCAGAACCTAGATTGCCATCAAAGCACACACAAGCAAAGCCAAAGGCTGTTACCCAACATATGCTGCAGTCACAACCTTATGAGTGAGGGGTTAAAAAAAAACCATTTAAACAAAAGAAAATCCGAAAATAAGAAGCAATGGCTGCTCCACATGAGAAGGAATCAGTGAAAGAACTTCAAAAGTATGAAAAATCAGAGCAAAAGGGCACCCCCAAAAGAGAACACTAGTTTTTTAGCCATTTTCAACCAAAATGAAAATATTGAAATGACAGATAAAGAATTCCAAATATGGATTTTAAAGAAGCTCAATGAAATCAAGAGAAAATGGAAAACCAACTCAAAGAAACCAGAAAAACAATTCTGGAAATGAATGAGAGATTCACTAAAGAGATTGACATATTAAAAAAAATACAACTTCTGGAAATCAAAAATTCATTTAAGAAAATACAAAACACTGTAAAATGCTTTGAGAATAGACTAGATCAGGCAGAAGAAAGAATCTCAGAGCTTGATGACAAGTCTTCCAAATGAACTCAGTCAGTCAAAGATAAAGAACAAAGAATTAAGAAGAATGAACAAAGTCTGTAAGAAATATGGGATTATGTAAAATGGCCAAATAAAAGAATCATAGGCATTCCTGAGGGTGAAGAAGAAAATGCAGAAGGATTGAAAAAACCATTTGAGGAAATAATAGAGGAAAACTTCTCTGGTCTTGATAAGATTTAGACATTCAGGTACAAGAAGTTCAACCCACACCTGGGAGATTCATTGCAAAGAGGCAATCACCAAGACACATAGTCATCAGACTGGCCAAAGTCAACAACACAAAGGGTAAAGTCCTGAGAGCGATAAGGCAAAAACATCAAGTAACTTACAAAGGGAAACCCATCAGGCTAACTGCAGACTTCTCAATGGAAACTTTACAAGCCAGAAGGGAATTAAAGTGCCATCTTCAGTTTCTTAAACAGAACAACTGCCAGCCTAGAATTCTGTATCCTGCAAATCTAAGTTTCATATATGAAGGAGAAATAAAGACATTTCCAGACAAGCAAACACTGAGGAAATTTGTCACAACCAGACCTGCCCTTCAGGAAATACTCAGTACTGCATTATCCATGGAGCTGCACAATAGACACCCACCAGTGTTAAATCACCGAAAAGCTAAAGCTCAGAGCTCATATAAAACAATAGCACAAGAAGTAAAAGAAAGCAATAATGTAGTACCCAACAGGATGAACAGAACAGCATTCCACATATTATTTCTATCAATCAACATGAATGGTCTGAATGTCCCACTCAAGAGACACAGGCTAGTTGAATAGATGAAAAATACAACCCAACTATCTGCTGTCTCCAGGAAACACATCTAACCCACAAGGATTCATACAGACTCAAGGCGAAAGGATGGAAAAAATTATTTCATGCAAATAGAAAGCAAAAGAAAGTATTCTTGTATCAGATAAAATTGACTTAAAATTAACAATGGTAGAGAAAGATGAAGATGGTCCTTATATAACAGCAAAGGGAGAAATTCAACAATAAGACATAGCAATCCTACATATTTAGGCACCTAACAGCAGCACACAGGTTCTGATTAACATTGGGATGTTAATCGTAAATTCTTTGCCTAGACTGATTATCTAGAAGAGTTTTTCCTACATTTTCTTCTAGAATTTTTGTGGTTTCATGCCTTATGTTTAATTATTTTATCCATCATGAATTAATTTTTATGAGTGGTGGGAGATATGAATCCTGATTAATTCTTTATGTGGCTATCCAATTTTCCCAGTACCATTTATTGAATAAGGCTTCTTTTCCCCAGTGTATATTGTTGTCTGCTTTGTCGAAGATCAGTTGGCTAAACGTAGATCATTTTATGACTGGGTTTTCTGTTCTGTCCCATTGGGTCTCAGTCTTTGTATAATAGATTTCCATCTAAATCCATTGTCTTTAGTGGTGAAAAATTAATACACAAACTGTTATGAAACTATAACCTGTTTTTCTTTGTAGCAGCGTTAAAAATAGTTATTATTAGGCTAGTTTAGTGCAAGTATCCTGTATGACTTTGGAAAAATTAATCTCAATCTTATCTTCTTTATTTTAAATATAGGAATAATATCACCCCTTTGATGAGATTGTTAGAAAACATAAACCAGGTTCACGAGTGCTATGTGCACAGAACAATAGTGTCTGATAAAAATGTAACATGAGCCATCTATATAATTTTACATTTCCTAGGAGCCACGTTAAAAGTGTTAAAGAAACAGGTGTAATCAATTTTAATAATATATTTCATTTAAGCTAAAATATTCAAAATATTTTATTGTATAATCAATGTAAATATCATCCAATTTTTTTTTTCATATTAAGTCTTTGATATCTGGTATGTATTTTACACTTACAGCACCTCTTAATTTGGTCTTGTTACAGATCAAGTGCTCAGTAGCCTTAGGTGATGTCTCTATCATATGGGACAATGCAGCAATAGATGCATTAGTATTAGTATTTGTTGTATTCTTCATGTGGTTTGCTAAGACAACATGATTATTTTCTGCAGAGAGTTATCAGAAAGATAGTACTAAGCACAGAAGCTTTGCGTTGAGCAAGTAATCAATAATTGTTAGTGATAATTATCATAATTTTTCACCGATTGCCCATCTTCAACTTTTTGAATTTTTCCAGTCCACAGTGCACTTTCAGACACATTGTAATAATACCCTTGTAAATACCCTACCATCCCAGGTTTCATCCTGCATAACTAAATATAATATTATTTCTAAGTTTATCAAATTGGTCAACAATTTAAGTATCCACAGTGATTCCTAGACAGTATTATAATAATGGACTATTTTAAATGGCTTTCCTGGGGAAGAATCCCATACATTGATATCTGTAGGCAGAGCGTTGATTTAACCCACAAAGGAATTTAAATGAATGAATATAAGTTCCACAAAGGAAAAAATCAGCATCCTCTTGTTCACTGACATATTGTAAGTGCCCTGAATACCTGTCTGGCACATATTATAGTAGATGCTCAACATGTATTTGTTGAAATGAGGAGAAAGACCAGGTTCTCCAGGTATGACAGAGAACTTATCTGTGTTCTGTTGCTCGTGTTGGCAGAAGCCTGTTACCTGAATGTCTGGGGCACTCTATAAATTAGAAGTCAATACTTGTGTGATGTGTACTGACACAGCTGGTCAAAGGGTAACATTTAGTGGCTTCTCCATGTTCGTTTTCAAAACTTCAGTTGAGGCTGCTGTATATGGCTTTGCAGCATAATGGTTGACTGTGATGGTAAGATCTTTCAACATGCAATAAATCTTCTTATAAGTTATTTAAATGTTCCAGTTTAAGGTAAGGCAGAGCTTTGGGTCCGACCATCATAGGCAAAACAAAATCAATCTGTGACTGCCTCAAGGAAACGAAATGCTCCTGAGATATGAATTCAGGAAGAAAAGATTAAAGACATAAAAGTCTTCGGTATGCCCAAGGCAACCGTTTTTTAGGTTTTTCTATTTGGATTCATGGTCTCACGTTTCCTTGTCTTAACAACAGATTTGATTTTTCAGTGTAGTCCAGATTTCTTCTTAGTAATATAATATCTTCTTCAGTAAAAGATGTTGTATTGGGTAGCAACGATAAACAAGGAATAAATAAATCTCTGATAAAACAATATTTGTTGAAGTGCAATCCAAATTGGGATATTTGTTTCTGTTTGGTAAGTCAGGGAATTTGAAAAAAAAAAAAAAAAAAAACACCTACCAAAACAAGAGCTAAAAAAGCCACACAAAAAAGTAACATCAAGGTATGACACCCACAGCAGGCAGGAAACTGGTTTCTTGGGTCTCCTCCCAGACTTCCTAATTGCCCTGGGTTAATGAGGATGAGATTTAACGGGAATGGCAACATGCCTGACATGTGGAGGTCATGCCAAGGAAAGAAGATCTGTGCTAATGGTTTCACAATATGCTTGAAGTACCAAGGCTTAAACATGCTGACCTTTCTAGGTGAGCTTTTGATCACCTAGCTGGAAAATTGGCTTGGAGCTCTAATTACGAGAGTGATGAGGAGTTTTAATTATTTAATTATTATCCAAAGCAGAGAACAAATATCCTGAACCAGATACGCGTCTGATAAGATTCTCCTGGAGAAGAAACGTTTGAAGAGATTTAACTCAAGCACTTCCTGAAATTATGACCAGTTTTGTTATTACTTAAAAAATAGAAACAGCTATCGTATCAGAAATAGCCTACGTAGGATAATCAAAGATGGTTCATGTTAAGGTTAATTATTTTCTCAGGTCCTAATATGTCATGGTCAGGACAGGATTCAATAGGAAAGGTAAAGGCAAAGAAGAAATGTGAGTTATTCTTTAAAAAAAAAATTTTTTTTTTACCTGTGTCCTCATGTAAGCCAAATCAGTTATTCATCCTTTCAAAAAATACTTATTACATACCTATTATAATGGAGACACTGTTCTAATGTCTAAGTAAAAAAAAAAGATAACAAAACAAACAAAGAAACTGCTGTTTTGGTGCTTACAGTCCAGAAGGAAAGAGAGGCAATAAGCGGGGAAAAAAAAGTAAATATAAAATATATCAGAAAATGATGAGTGCTATGAAGAAAGAGAATGGACCATAATACGATATTACTTTCCTTTTATTTATGAGAGACATAATTTCAGACAAGGTGATTGGGAAGAGGTCTAACAATTGAACAGAGATCAAGAAACGGTAAGTGTGCCTACAAGAAAGCAATAGCAGGAGTAAGAGTGGTATGTGCAAAGGCCCTGTGGCAATGGCGCGATCTGTCTGTTGGAGGAAGAACAGGAAGACCACGGTCACTAGACTAGAACTCACAGAGACTGGGAAGAATGTGGTTAGAGAGATAGCCAAGGGCCAGTCATGGAGGGCTGTATAGACTTAGGATCTTAGGATTTCTTTTTTTAAAATACTGGTAAGAAGACTTTATTTTTGCTGAGTGGTCCACTTTTATTCTAGAAAAGATGTTTTATTTGAAGAAAGATCCCAATACAATAGTTTTTCTTACCATGGGGTGACATTTATCTGAGCCTAGGTGAGCTTCTCACCTGTCACCACTAAAATGAAAGTTGTACATAAAGAGGATTTCTAAACTTCTTGCAATTCATTTGCAGTGTCAGGTTTCTGCGTGCACGGCACAGAGCTTTGTTTATATTTTTACTGGGGCAAAAAGACAATATCATATGAACTTTAATTACGACACACGGAGCTTAGCACTTTCTATCCTGTAGTCCATGTTGCAACACGGAAAGGAAGATATCAGCTCTGAAAATGTCGTTCCTTATTTTTTACATTAAACCGTAGATATTTTTCCGCGAAATGCCAGCATAGCTGAAAATCATTTCTTTACATCTGAAGGAAAGATTTATTGAATGAGCCCGCTGGTTGCAGAGGAAATCATAAGGATTGCTTTTCAGCATTTTGCGACAGTATCTACTTTTAGTCATTTGTAAATCTTGGATCCACCAGAGAAAAGTTGGCCTAACAAATAAATCCCTTCCATATCTGAGCATTCAAACACTTTCTGTTGATTCTACCAGTAAAGTTAGCAGACAAAAAGATATGTTTTCTGAAGTTTCTTTCCTACTAAAATGTGTTAGTCAATAATCTGTGGTAGCAATGACAGACACTTCAACCAATCCCTTCAATTTATTTATTTGAGGATATGATTTTTAATATACACTGCATATACATATTAACTATTGATTGACTTTCCGTATGACCAATTAAAAATGCCTTAAAAGTGAAAAATGTACCATCAGGAGTTCTGTTATGTTTAAAGTTAAGTTTGATGTTCGGCCCTGCTTGAATTGCATCTGCACAATCCCAGCATATATTTCCTTCCCAATAGTCCTCATCACACCCTACGAATATCGATGTCTTATAATCTATTCTGCGCAAAAATCGCTGCTGACTTTATCGCTTACCTTCGACTGTTTCAGCCGAAACTCCTTCTCTTTCTGCATTCTGTACTGGTCGATTTCTGCCATTGCTTCCTCCTTAGCTTGCTTCAACCGCTTCCCTTTTCCTGAAAATTAACCGTGGTACAGAAGGAATGATATTTATTTTTCATACACCTAGAACTGCAAACTTAATTTGCAAAAAAAAAAAAAAAATGGGTGAGTTTTTCATTCTGTTTGTGATGATTTTTTTTCTAGAATGGCAAACTTTATTTTAAAAAAAACAATAGCTATTGAAACATTTCTTACTTTTTCTTGCTTTAGGATGTGGAAACGACAAATTTCTTTCTCACTTCAACATGTTTAAATAAAAATATCTTTCCCATTTACTCACAGCAGTAATGCCAGAGAACAGATTTTAGCTGTCACTTACTTGAAAAGACATTATGTGGTCAGATTTTCTTGTCTTGATTTGCTGCCAGGAATCCTCAGCCCACCCCAACTGGATCCTATTTAATACTGGCAAATTTCCAAAAATTGCTACAAGCATGCAGCTCAGACTCTATCAAACTGGCTTACAATTTTTTTAAAACATTTTTATTAGGATTTTTTTCTTACCATTTGTTGACTCTAGAATGTCTGATTAAGCCCCACAATACATCAAAGTAGATTTTTTTTTTGTAGTCGTTTTCTCTGAGGGGGACTTGAAAGTGGCTATAAAACCAATTTTTTTAATGGTTAGGAGATTTAGTTAAGTAGCCCCTTTTCTTTTATTAAGAGCAAAGGTGTAAGCCTTAAGCTAGCAGACAACATAAACGAAAGTTTTAGACAAACACAATGCTGTGGTGATCATTAGCTGAGCACATGAGCTTTCTGACAACCAGAATAAGTTTTGGGGGTCATAGATTAATATTAATTGCCGCTGTGAACCCACTGTCTACTACCTTAGGGTTTAGGTACTAATGCTTTGTGATCATTAAAACTTTAAAGAAACTCTGAACTATGTTAAAATTCTTTTTTTTTTCCCCCTCTGAATCTATTGTCTTTCAGTTTCGGTAAAATGCCTTCGCTGTTGCCCATTTAATGTAGCATAGTTTTCTTTGATAATCTCTCTTAACTTTTTGCTTATAATTTTTGTCAATTTGTCGTGCTGTGTGGACTTGGAACTAAATACATGTGTGCGCATTAAGTAGCATTAAAGAAAATCTCAATACAAATTTTTATCTTTCATTTACCATTTATATACTTTGTAGCACTTGAGTATAGAATGTTTCTACATTTCTCTCCCTTCCACGTGTGAGTTGCTTTCCTGGTCACTGAAAGGGACTAAAGACCGAGTCACTGAATTACAAGTGGAAAAATGTCTCTTTTAATGCCTATCGCCCTTGAGAGGAACTGGCCAGACCTCATTCAGAGCAGATATTCAACTCTTCCTTTACTTTCTTTAAAATCCAAGGTCTGGCGAAAACTAAATGCTCTTCTGATGATGCTTGAGGCTTAACGGAACATTGACAACAATGCTTGTCTTTTTCTGAATTAATGCTCATTGCCACTTTGTTTCTACTGATTTCTCCATTCTCTATCGTTCTAACCAAACTGCCTCAACTAAGCGTATACTATGCACAGAGATTCTTTGCGAATGGAACAAATTAGATGACACCTTGGCAGGAAAAACTAATTCCTGGATGCCCAGCCCACTTTCTTATCACTGCTTGTCGTTTACATCAGGGTAAAAATACATAGTCTTCATGTATTCAACAATTTTTTTTTTTTTTTTTTTTTTTTTAGTAATGATGGGTGTGGTAGGATACATCATTATTTTACAAAATAAATCACATGCATCATTGCTCCTCATCTTAACTGCAGCATATGTAAAAACATCGGTTTTAGAGCCATGACTCTCTGGCACATTAAAAAATAATAACAGGCAATGCTCTGCGCGCCCTGCCCCTGAGTCAGAACCCGGCACTGCGCTAAGAGGCTGTATATTAGTTCCATCCCACGGTGACAGGCTCAGAGAGTGTCTGTGATCCCCTTGTCAAGGCACCAGTCACCTGCTGGTTCTCATTCAATTAAATAAGAGAGCCAGGGGGCAACCGCTGCTGGCGCAGCAATTTTCCGGATAGACCCAGCAGCCGCCTGCGTAGGCTGCACCTGATTTAATCCGGCGGAAGAAACCGGAGCCTCAAGCCTGCTGTTCTGTGAGAGGTGAAGCAAAATGCATGCGTCAACCCCACTCATATTAACCTCTGGCTTCCTCCTCCCTGTCTCTCTCTGTCTCTCTCTCTCTCTGTTAAGAAGATTGCCAAATTTTAAAATTTTACCCAGGTCTTCTTAAGCATTAAAAACATGGCTACTCTGACCTAAAAGGCGGGGGGGAAAAGAGGGACATTTGGACTGATTTTCAGTTGATTTGAAGGGAAAGGATTTAAAAAATCGACTCAGAGCAGGTTGAAATGGAGACAAAGGGTAGTGCTCAAAAATGGAAACTGCTTTGGCTTCCTGGTTAGGATGGGCCAAGGTGAACCGAGCATTCCAAGATTCAATAAATCCTTGAGATGCAGAGAAACCTATTCTAGTGCTTGGATTGCTAAATTTGTTTTAGATTTTTTTTTTTGACAGTGAAGATAGGATTTTGTTTATCATCTCAGAAGGGAATCAGAATTATACACTAGCCACCGCCACAATAAAATATTAGAAACTTTGCCACTTTGAACAAGCTATTTAAAATTTCTGGGACTGAGTTTTCTTATCTATTCAAGAAAGCTAATACCTTACTGCAAAGATTTACTGGAAGGACTTGAAAAAAATGTATATGAAGTACTTGACAAAAGGTAGTTACTTAATTATTTTTAAAGATTAGTTGGAAAACAGGCCTAATTCCTGGGGCCTTTTGCAAATAAGGAAGGGAGTGAGTAAAGCAAGAGTTTTGAGTGAAGTCTTCAGGCTGTCAGTATAGAAGTCTCTATCGGCTTCCCTGGGGATATCCAAATGGAGGTATCCACAGGGCAGCTGGATAGATGAGTTTGGAATCTAGGAGGGAAATCTGGAATGGAGACAGAGATTTGCATGCCCGTCATCTGGATTTGTGTGCTTGCCAGTCATAACAACGGGGTTTGAACAGCAGTTGAGGGGAAAGAGTACAGAATGAGGAAAAGAGAGGGCTAAGGGGAATAATAACACTCAACAAACAAGAAAAGGAAGCAGAGCTTCAGGAGGAGCCTGAGAGTAGTGGTCAGAGAAGTAGAGGAAACCAAAAGAGACAAGAGAACATTCCAAGAAGGATGTGGTGAATGGTATCAAATGCTACAAAGCACTGAAATGAGACATTTAATCAACATTATTGGATATCTGCTAGGTGCCCCACACTACTATAGATCTATGGATACAGCACTGAAGGCAACACATTCTTCTGTTCTCATAGAGGCTGTGTGCTAAATGTAACTGGAGAAACAAAACCAGGAAATATAGTAAGTATATCATATGACAGGGGTGATGAGTACTGTGGGGAAGAAAGAGTAAAGGTGCATAGGGATAGAGAGAAACGGTGGCGGGCTCTAACTTTGATAGGTCAGGCCTCTTGGACAGCATGATGTGTGCACAGAGACCTGAGAAAATGAAGGCAACTTGTCATGCAGAAATATGGAGGGGAAAAGCGTTCCAAGCAGAGGGAATAGCAGGTTCAGAGGTTTTGAGGTGGGAGGAAGCTTGCCATGCTCAAAGAACAGCAAAAACAAACATCATGGCTGGTGGAAAAGAGCGGGATGGTTGAATGTTTGGGCAGTGGTGGGGCCAGGTCCTGTGGAGTTCACAGGGCATGGTGAGCACTTTGGTATTTGAGATGCTAAACCCATGACATAGCACTACTTATGTGTTCCAACAGCGTGTGGCATGATACTGCTTATTATTTAAAAGGATTTCTGTGGCTAGTGTGATGAACATAGATTGTAGAAGTAAGGAAAGAGCAGGAAGATCAGTCTGAAGTTTTATTGCAATAGTTCAGACACATTTCTGGAAATAGTAAAGTAGCATGGAGTTGACGAGAAGAGGTCCGTGTATATTTCGAAGGTGGAGTTGATAGATAAGTGTGAGAGGCAGAGATGAGTCATCCATTGATGATGCCAACATTGGATTTTGGGGGGTGGCGTCAAGAATGCAATTGAGCGGAAGTGCCTGTTAGACCTCCAGTGGCAATGCTGAGGAGGTTGGTGTTTATACGAGTTTAGAGATCAGGGAAGCAACCAGGGCTGGGAATGTCAAGTCTGCAAATCGTCAGCATGGAGCTGGCATCTAAAGCCACGAGATTAGAAATGAGGTCACCTGGGAAGTGTCTGAAGTCACGGAAGAGAACAGGTGGGAGCTGGGGCCCCGACTATGGAGACTGAGAAGACGGCAGGAAGCCAACCATGAGAGTAGGATCCCGAAGCCAAAGAAAGAAGGAGTTTCCAAGATGAGGGAGGGATTCAGTCGCGAAAGACGTTGGATGTTAATTTCAGATTTAAGGACGTCGGTGAGCTCGGCAAGAGGAGCTGGGGTGGAGTCGCAGGAACAAAAGTCAAAGAGAAAATGTAATGACAAGAAGATTGACATAGGGGATGGAGGCAACTTCCCTGAGAAATTTTCACCAACAACGGAGGACAAAGAAAGTTAGGTAAAGGGTCAAGGGCAGTCAAATAAATATGACAATCAGACAGTATTGTGGGTTTAATTGTAACCCCCCCCCAAAAAGGTATGTTGGAAGGCCGGCGCGTGGCTCACGCCTGTAATCCTAGCACTCTGGGAGGCCGAGGTGGGAGGATAGCTCAAGGTCAGGAGTTCGAAACCAGCTGAGCAAGAGCGAGACCCTGTCTCTACTAAAAATAGAAAGAAATTATGGCAACTAAAATATATAGAAAAATTAGCCGGGCATGGTGGGGCATGCCTGTTATGTCAGCTACTTGGGAGGCTGAGACAGAAGGATCTCTTAAGCCCAGGAGTTTGAGGTTGCTGTGAGCTAGGCTGACACCACAGCACTCACTGTAGCCTGGGCAACAGGGTGAGACTCTGTCTCAAAAACAAACAAACAACAAAAAAAACAAAGGTATGTTGGAGTCCTATATCCTGGCACTATGAATGTGACCTTATTTGG